AAAATATACTGTCCTTAAAAATGAGATACCCCTCAAGCCTTCTTTTTAAAGCAACTAAAGAGGTCGGTGATTTAAGGACTGTTTTTAGAGAATGGAGTTTAGGAGGTGGAAATAATGTGTATCAGGGTAACTGGTGAACAGAAACGTGCTCTGGTGAAGCACTTGAAGGGCACATGGAAGGCCAGGGGACAGCAGTGGCATGGAACAGGCCCATAGCTTTGTAAGTTTCAAATTTCTGTTCCTCATACAGGCATATAAAAGTATTTTTATTTAGATGTCTCTCTTTAAAAACAGCTATTTTTGTCAGCTTTTATTATAAATGGAAGCCTTGTAAAGTGATTGGTTGGTGTATTTATTATTTATTTCTTTTTTTTTGAGAGAGAGTGCAGGAGGGGGCGGGAGGAGGGGCAGAGAGAGAAGGAGAGAGAGAATCTTTCTTTTTTTTAAGATTTATTTATTTATTTGAGGGGGTTGGTGCACACGTGTGTGTGAGGGAGGGGAAGGGTAGAAGGAGAGAATCTTCAGGTAGACTACCTGATGAGTGCAGAGTTTGACGCGGGGCTTGATCTCACAGGCTTGAGATCGTGACCTGAGCTAAAACCAAGAGTTGGATGCTTAACCCACTGAGCCACCCAGGTGCCTTCTGATTGGCTTATTTATTAAGAAAACTGGCACCTACTATGTTCTAGGTCCTATATGTAGTGCTGGGAATACAGCACTGACCAAGATACCCATAGTCTGGTAGGTTAAAGTCTTGGGGTAGAGATAGACAACAAACAAATAAATTAATTAGACAACTATAGGTATAATTCACATTGAGGAAACTGGTATGAGGGGAAAAAAGTAAGCTTTCTGTGATGGAAAAAATAACTGGATTGGTTGGTCAGAGGCTGAGATAGCTAAGCAAAGAACTGAGGGTTAAGAAGGTGCTAGTCCCATGGTGAGTGAGATGGAGGGTGCGCCACATGGGTGGAGAGAAAGAACAGAGGCCCAGGCGTAAACTGTGAGTTCCTGTAGATTACTTTCCGGTTCTAAATCTAATAATATGTCACACATATCGACAGACATTAAGCAAAGAAGGCAGTCATCATGAATTGCACGAGCTGGGTAAAGATACTATTTGTTTTGCTACAATTATGTAGGCTTTAAAAAAAATTTTTATTTTCTTTGTCTTACTATGAATGAACCAAGTGTCAGTAAGCTCTAATTAACTTCAGGGCCATTTCCTTTCTTGTATATATGTAGTCTTTTTAATTTCTAAGGATTAAAGGAAGACAATTATAAATGTTTTAGACTTTTAACATGGAATGTAAAATAAGATGACCTTTCATTTTATTAAAATTTTTGGCTTGCTTCTTTCTTATTGCCTTAATTGAACTATCAGCTTTACACCTGATAATCACACAGAGAGGTATATATTTAATGTATTTATATATATGTGAATTTTAATTTTTAATATTTATAATGCTCTCACACGTAAGGCCACAAGTATGACTTGATTCCTATTTTGTGACTGTACTTTTGGGAGAAGTTACTTAAGTTTTGTTTATGATTAACTTTTCTCTGTAACCAAAGTAGTATGTGAACTGATATTATTAAAAAAAAAATCCATCTAGGGGTGCCTGGGTGGCTCAGTCGTTAAGCACCTGCCTTTGGCTCAGGTCAGGATCCCAGGGTCCTGGGATCGAGCCCCACATCTGGCTCCCTGCTCGGTGGAAGCCTGCTTCTCCCTCTCCCACTCCCCCTGCTTGTGTTCCCTCTCTCGCTGTCTCTCTGTCAAATAAATAAATAAAATCTTAAAAAAAAATCCATTTAGAAAAAGCTAATGAACAATGATACCCTTATTTATTATTATGCATGACATATTAAAAAATAGAAACAATTTGTTTTAAAGATTGAACTGAGCTGGTGTTTAAGTACTAGTGGATAAGGATAAAGATATGGAACTCAAGGCTGACTGATGGAAACAAAACAGAATATAAAGATTTAAAATATCAAATTAACAGACTTGATTGTAAATTTATAGAAATCCTAGCAATATGAAATTTGGCTGCTTTTCCTGAAGGTGTCAGTACAAACTAAAGATTGATCATAAACTAATTGATATTGCCCTTCCATCTTGGGGTCTGAGCATATGAAAAGGTGTTTTAAAAAAAACCCTGAAACACAATACCTTGGACCTAAAAGCCATGGTGGCCAAATCCTAAGCTCAGGTAAAGCTTCTCATTTTTACCAGCCCTTCTGGTGTGATGTACTGTTCTCCAGACCCCGCCAGCCTGAGAGCTGAGTGTCCGTACAGGCACCCCGCTCATTTGTACATCACTGCAGATGCTGACTCGTGAAACACACCATGTATTTCTCCCTTTTAACAATTATAGGTGCCTGGGTGGCTCAGTTGGTTAAGCAACTGCCTTCGGCTCAGGTCATGATCCTGGAGTCCCAGGATCGAGTCCCGCATCGGGCTCCCTGCTTGGCAGGGAGTCTGCTTCTCCCTCTGACCCTCACCCCTCTCATGTGCTCTCTGTCTCTCAAATAAATAAATAAAATCTTTAAAAAAAAATTATAAATGCTTTCAGCTTTATTATAGGACTGAAACATTTTATTCCCATTTTTTGTTGCATATCTGGTAAATTTATTTTGATAAATTTTTTAAAGACTGTTTTTTAAATATTTATTTATTTGTGTAATCTCTGCACCTAACGTGGGGCTTAAACTCACAACCTTGAGATCAAGAGCTGCATGCTCCATCGACTGAGCCAGCCAGGTGCCCCTATTTTGATAAATTTTTTAGAGGAGTTTTTTAAATTCACACATGAAGTGAGCTTTTAGCTATTATATTTATAAATTCGATGCTGAAATATATATTTTTTAAGATTTATTTATTAGAGCGTGGAGATGGGCAGAGGGAGAGGGAGAGAAAAACTTAAGGAGACTCCATGCTGAGTGTGGAGCCTGATGTGGGGCTCAGTTTCATGACCCTGAGATCATGACCTGAGCCGAATCCAAGAGTTGAACGCTTAACTGACTGCGCCACCCAGGCGCCCCTGAGATCATATTTTAAAGGCTAGTGTGAGACTGTGGCACTTAGACCTTGCTTGTAGAATTCAAAGAGATTTTTTTTAACGTATCTTTTTTGTGAACATAGAATCCTTATAATGTAAACAATTACTCTTGATTTAGCTTATGTATTCTTATATTCAGTCCTCATTTTACAGAAAGAATGGGTTGTCTTTAAAAATTTTTAGTAAGTAGTTTGAGAATCAGAAGGCATCTTCCTATAGAAACAGTCTTATAGGGATTACTTCCAGCCCAACCTGAAAAGTCCAATTTAATTAATGACATATAAATTATAGTGGTATTATTGTTTCAGTTATACCCAATTAGCATTTAGACATTATTTCTGCAGTACACGACATTCCAAATTTCATGTTGGGATACCATTTCCTCTGATTCAATTCAACATTTACTGAGCTGCTGTTCAAGGTTCTCTGGGTTTTGGAAAGCTGAGCTGTCTGTGAAGAACAATCTGGTGGGCCAGTTGGAGATGCACATAGCTGATGTACCCACGGGGCAGGCTACCTGTGGTCAGGAAGTGCTGCAGTGGAAGTATGAGCAGGGAGAGGAGAGATCAACAGTTTGTGGGGAGACCAGGAAGGCAGGAGATTAAAGGATGGGGGTGCTAGGTAAAAAGACCCAGAGGTGACTTGGTACAGGGTAACATTGGTGGTCATTTGGTTCAGGGGCAGATGAGGTCCTTGTCCAGGAGAGTGGCAGTGGAAGTAAAGAGTATGAGACAGATATGAGGGACACTGTAGACCTCGTTGGGCAAGATTTGGAGAATATTCAGAGTGGGACAGAAGAGGGAGAGTTTAAGATGGCTTTCAGGATTTTAGTCTTGCTCTCTTTGGGAGCATTAGCCTGAGATAAGGAGCATGAAAAGGAGGATGAGATTTGGTATAAAGATGACGAATTTAATTTTGGGCATATTTGTTTGAAGTGCTTGGATGATCATCTGTCCATCCACCCATCCCATCCTGGATGCATTTACTGGGCACCCATTATGTACCTGATCCTCTGTGAGCTGTGAGAATGTAGAAAGGCAGTCAGGCTGTTGGCAGTGGATCCGTACATGGCTGACAATGATCTGGCACATAAAATGCTGTCGGTAGTTAAGAAAAATAAGAAAAAGTGCTGTGGCTGGCACTCAGTTGAAATGGAAGGTGTAGAGTTTAGAGTAAAATTAGAGCCAAAGGAGCAGGTTGGGGATTTACGTACACCAAGGGAGTTGAGTCAAGAAAACCAGGGAGTCAGAGTGAGTGGGTCCTCAGCTTCATCATGGGAGAAGGGCTCATCCCAGAGTAAGCAGGACCTGGCAGGATGTGCTCCAGGCCCCAAAGTGGTGGTGTTGCACTCAGTGCGGGAGAAAGGCACCTCTCTAGCTGGTCATTCTCTAGGTGTTAGGAAGAGGAGAGTGAAATGAATAAATGGATGGAGGCACTACTCCATGGACTTTATCATTTACTACCAGGTAATTTTTATATAGGGAATCTATCAGTTTCCTTAATGAAGGCCACATAAGTACCTCTTTTCTGTATTTAAACATAGTTTAACATAGAGCAGAGATGGATGCAAAAAATACTGTTTACAATATTAATGTTTATTAAAATTTCTAAGTATTCAAACTCAACCTTAAAAAAATGTTGAAAATGTCCAAGTTTAATTCAACATTAATTGGTTATTTCTTATTATAAAAACATTTTCATTTGAAAAATTTCAGACAGCAACTAGTAACGTCCTCTCTGGATATCACGTGGAAGACTTGGAAGGGGGTAAGTACACCATTCTCTGTTACTTCTGTTAGCTGTAATTGCAGGCATCGCTTTGTTATTGATTATTGGGAGGACATTTACTGAGTTACAGTACATGTAAGTGGAGGTATAGGAGAGAATATACAAATTTAATTTTAAGAAGTAGGTGTGGATGAAAACATTTTTTTCACTGGCCCCTTTTTGTAGAATAATGGAGTCATGGAGGTAGGAAGTATCATTTTCTTGCCTCCATGTAGCTCTGAGGGTAAGTAAACCTCATTGTTAGCAATGTCATGTTGCTACATTCTACATTGTAGAGGGGAGTCTTTCTTTTTTTCTGTCCCAGGCTAGTCCAATTACTACTTTTTGGAAGTCCTGATCTGTAAGCTCAGTTGTTCCTGCCACAGTTAAAATCCATGACCTCTTCTTCTGTTGCCAGAGGAAAGGGAAGAGGGACCAACATTCATTGAGTGCTTGCTGGATACTGTATACTGTGGTAGCAGCTTTCACAAAAACATGTATTGGCTTCTCCATCTTTTTGATAGGGGATGAAACTGATATTTATGCAGGGTCAGTGGTTTTTCCAGGCACACAGCTGGAAAGGGATGAGACATGGCTTTAAACTCAATCTGGCTGAATATCTTTTTTGGGGGGTGGGTGGTAGCACACGATTCGTGAGGAAATAGAGAATGGCTTTGAGGTCCTTGGAAATTTGGTGCTGCTCAACCTCTGTTGCTCTGGCCTTTTCTTTCTTAAGCCTTATTTTCCTTGGTTTATTTGGAACCTTTACCTAAATGAATCAAAGCTCATTGTATTCAGAAGTAAACAAATGTTATTTTTTAGCTCCTGTGTCAGAATTCAACTTTTTGAACTTTATTTCAATTGTAAAAAAGGATTACTTGATACAATGACATGTGCCAGACAAATGCTAAGGAACATGGGTAATAATGTGGAACTTTGCACTCAATATGTAGTATTGAATTTGTTCTACAAAATTTCCTCTCAGGATATGATAATTTTCTCATTCCTGAAATAATCCTAATAGAGACACATTTTATACTTAAGAAATGACAGGCATGCCAACATTTCCCCCTTTAGTTGTTAGGGAAGAGACTGCATTGGAAATATGTCCACCAGTTGCTAGGATAGAGTCAGGGTCATCGACCTGATTTAGCTGCTGGGCAACTACTTCAGTGATGTCTAAGTTTCCTGTGGTTAATTGAATTTAACTCATTTGATCGGTAGATTACTTTTTTGGTGGAGGCAAGTATGTCATGTCCTTTTTACATCATCTAGGATGATGTGTGTGGAGGGTTTATAGTATTTCTTACACATTAAAATATCAAAATTATTAGCAAGCCTCAAATGATAAGACTATATCCTGATTACTCTCTAGGATCTTGTAATGGTTGGCATTTCCGCCCACCACCTAGGGGAATCACAAGCAGCGAGGAATATACTTTGTGTAAAAGGTAACGTGAATTTTTTTTTTAAACCAATGACATGTCTTTATTCAAAGGATAGATGATTTTCCTTCACTTTCTGAAAAGTAGTAATTCCAATTTAAAGAAGATAATATGTGAGGGAAGAAGTATAGTGATTGAGTAAAATGGTTTATTTTCAACTTGAAACAGAAGCCATAATTAATGGTCATTATCATTAAATAATAAAAGTCAAGGCCATATCAGTGAGCCTTCTTTTAGTTACAAACAACAGTGATCTAAATTGGGATTGTTAAGACTTTGTGTAGAAGTCTTTTATGATACCAGTTGAATTATTATGACTGAATTTAATTCTGGTCTCTTATTTATGTGAAATGTACCTCTAACTTATGGTGATTGAATTGAAATTATATATACTGACGTAGAGCATAAAATAGATGAAGAAATGTTAAATTATTTTAATAACTTTCCTAAAAAAAGAAAATCTATTACCTTCATGTTATCCTTATATATAATTTATGAGTAATTTCTATTTGAAGGGCTAACCTTTCAAAATTAAATCGTTATTAAGCTGGAAAGAATTATTAAAGTCACATTTCGAAAGGTGAACTCGTTCTTTTTATAAGAACTAGTAATGAGGGATTTTAGATTTAAAGTCTCATTATTATAGATTGTTTTTGATAATGAAGGAAATTGGATATGTAGTTTTGATGATTGAATAGTCAAGATCAGATATGATTTTATAGTAGAAATAAAGAAACTAAGTAGTAAATTTCAAAAATCCTGGTGGCATCATGTTGTGGTAGAGGTAGAACACAATCCTAAGCAGAGGAAATGTGAGAAAATTTATAGGCCAGATAAAAATACCAAACCTTTAGTATTTAAAGAAATAATTAAAGCAATAGACAAAGAAATATTTGGCTCATTAAGACATACTTAAGAGAAACAAATGCATGATTTTTAAATGTGTCTTCCAAAGCGTAAGAGAACTTAGTAAGTCGTATAATTTAAGTTCAAGTACTTTGTATCATTAAGAAAAGCTTTAAATACAGTCATCTTTGCAAATAGGGTGAACCATTTGATAATTTACATTGTGCTGTGGTTCGTTTTATATTTCTTATAAGGTCCATATTTTTTCAGTTGAAAAATTATCCATAATATAACACCTCTCATCTCTATTTTGCTATTTATAGTTTAATTTTCATTTTTTCTCTCAGAAGATCTGTTAATTTTTTGATGTTTCAGTTGTTTAAAAACTGGCTAGACCCATAATTTTGTAGGATATTTAAAACTTAAAAAAATTAATAAAGTTTTGCGTATCTGTTTTGACCACTGAATTGTCAGTTGAATTTTCTGAGTCGTAAACACTGAGAAACCATTAACTCTGTCCTTTAATGTGAACATTTAGGAATTTACCATTGAAGATTTTAATCTATTGAATTAATTGAGATTCTAATATAAAACTTTTATTCTTTTTTTGTTTTTTTTTAAAGATTTTATTTATTTATTTGAGAGAGAACACATGAGAGGGGGGAGGGTCAGAGGGAGAAGCAGACTCCCTGCCGAGCAGGGAGCCCGATGTGGGACTCGATCCAGGGACTCCAGGATCATGACCTGAGCCGAAGGCAGTCGCTTAACCAACTGAGCCACCCAGGCGCCCCTAAAACTTTGATTCTTAATTTATTTAAAACTTCAAGCAAATGAATATAGTCCAGTATTTTCAATGAAATATAGGTAATAGTAATATAGAAAAGAGTAGAGGCTTACATTTGAAGGTGAAAAGTAGAAGCCTTAAGATGATAATTTAATGATATAGTAATATTTTTTTTTAGAATGAAATTCCTAGTGTGTGGAGAATTGTCTTTAGGTCCTATCATTTTGAGAAGTAGGGCACACCTGTGTTTGATGCACCGATCCACTTGATGTCAGTGTTGCTTTAGGAAAATTCTGCTCTGAGAAGAATTGTCTAAATAGAGTTGTTACATCATGAAGGAAGCTACCTTTTCACTGTCGGTTTTGTGGGTGAGGGGTGGTTATGATCGATTATGCTTTGCTTTAGCATCCCCTTATTCCAAAAAAGAAGTCGCTGAGTATGGAAAGTTGGTGTAGTGATTAACTGTCGTAAATGTTCTCGAAACCTCTTTTTCCTCCTCTGTGCAAGTCGGTGTGATAAATATGGCCTTTCAGGAGATGAAGTTTTGTTTTTGTTATTGAAGAGTCGGAGGGCAAATGCTGGAAGTTTATCTTTTAAATGGTCCAACAAAGTATATGATAAAACAGTCTTTCCTATTCTACTTAGATTTTTAGAGCAAGGAATCTGTAGGTATGGTGCGCAGTGTACTTCAGCACATTCCCAGGAAGAACTAGCAGAATGGCAGAAAAGATATGCTTCACGCTTGATAAAATTGAAACAGCAAAATGAGAATAAACAGCTCTCAGGCAGTTACATGGAAACCTTGATAGAAAAGTGGATGAATTCATTATCTCCTGAGAAAGTGGTGAGGAAAATAAACTGCATTTTTTGTTGTTGTTGTTTGTTTGTTTTAAACGATGACCTTGTTTGAGTCTTGACTTTGTTTTGTGCTATTTTGGTTTATTTCCTTATCCTCTATACGAAGAACTTGATTCTGATAAAGTGTTTTTGTAGCAAAAGTAGACCCTTTGGCTAAAATAAAGAGCAGAACTAAGCCATTTGTTTGGAGATTTGCAGGTATTACGTTAATCTTCATTCAGGGAGTGTTTACTGCCATTTTGTTGTTATTAATTTTCTTATGTCTTGCCTAAGCTTTATTATATTTTGTTCTTGTAAAATTAATATATAAAAAATATCTTGCTTTGTAAACAGTTCCATCAACATCTTTACCGTTGATATTTATTTACCATGCCAAAAGTTTCTCTCTGTACTTTTGGGACTAAAAATATAACATTAATTGCTCTCTATTTTCAGCTTAGTGAATGTATAGAAGGAGTAAAAGTAGAGCATAATCCTGATCTGTCGGTTACTGTCAACACCAAAAAATCTCACCAGACATGGACCTTTGCTCTTACTTGTAAGGTATGAATTTTGTGCTAATTAAAGAGTGTAATTTTTTTTCGATTTTCTTAAGGCTTTTTTTGACCTTTAAATCTCTGTTAGAGCACTGAAAATGTTTTAATCTGAGTACATCTTAAGTAGGTTCTATATTGTGCTAAAGTGTATTTCTGTACTTTGTTCGTTAATGGTCTAATATTTTTAGATTTTGAGATAAAAGTCTTTGTAGATATTTAGATGTTTGCTAATTTATTAATTTGATAAAGAGGTCTTTGATATATTCTCTTCCAAAGTTGGAACATAAGATGGGGTTCATGGCTTATAATTAACTATTTAAAAACTGAATTGTTTAATCTGGCAGTTCTAAGATACTTAGACAGTAACAGCTTGGTTTTATATTTGATTTAATGAAGTCACAGATTCTGTAATTATGGGTTTTTAATATGAGACATTTTCTGCAGTGCCTCCCATCTTGAATATAATATTCAAAGTTTAAGAATGAAGCAGTCAGACTTTTTTGTGGATATGTGCAGTGGAAAGTTTTGTGTACTTTTTGGTGGCATTTCTTCCACTGTATCATCTGCATCTTGGGATGAAAAATCTGGGAACATTTAGCTTCGGCCATGAACCCAATCCAGTGCCTTCAGAGGTAGCTGCACTCCTATGAAGACTTCCTACTTAAAGCTAGATAAAACTTTTTTAGGCCAAAGGTATAGAAAGTTGGAGGTCATTGATCTAACAGGGTGGTACAGCTTTTGCCACAAAGAAAGATGAGGTTATCCTAGAAAGAGCAGGGAGGCTAGAGATGTAGCATAAATATATAATTTTTAAAAATTTCAGCTTTACTGAGTTAAAAATGATATCATACGTATACAATTTTAACAACTGTTTTTTTTTAACCATTCTCGTTTTTTTCTTAAATGGCTTATGAGCACAATTTGTATTTTTAACATAACCTCTTAGAAGCATGGGAAAGTAAAAGTCCCTTATGGGAATATTTTCATTGAAGAGCCCAATTACAATTGGATTTTTCACCCCCTTGTACTCAATGAATTATTTTAACTTCCTTGTAGCCTGCAAGAATGCTGTATCGTGTAGCATTGCTTTATGATGCTCATCGTCCTCATTTTAGTATCATTGCAATATCTGCCGGAGATAGTACTACCCAGGTATCACAAGAAGTCCCAGAAAACTGTCAAGAATGGATAGGAGGAAAGATGGCCCAAAATGGATTAGATCATTACGTGTATAAAGTCGGGATAGCATTTAACACAGAAATATTTGGAACTTTTCGCCAAACCATAGTTTTCGACTTTGGATTGGAACCAGTACTCATGCAAAGAGTAATGATTGATGCAGCTTCTACAGAAGGTAATATTTAGACTTTTTTCCCCTGATACGATGTATTAAAAGGCACTGTAATAGCAGCATTGAAAGATATGTATTGGCCCCTAAATATTCCATGGATAGAGAGGGAATAATAAGGAAAAATCCAAAGCAATCGACTCATTTACTGTGTAATGGGATCAGAATGGTTCACATTATGCCCTGTTCTCTTTATATAGTCATCAGGCAAACTTGCTTTGAGCTTCCTCAAACTTGTATGAGGAGATGATCAGGTCTGTTTTGGTCTGCTAGCTTTGTTTTTAAAGTAAGATGATTTTAGCACAGTAAAACCTTTCAGTATTAATTTGGGTAGACTGTTATTTCAGTGGTGATCGTGAGTACACCTCCACTGTCTGTTTCCGTGTCTGACTGAGTCTCCAGTTAACTTTGCTGACATTAGTACCGTTGAATGAAAAACCCTAAATGTAAGATTTCATAAGTTGGTTTTGTACATTCACTAGTAAAGGAGACCATGGTGCCTTAATAGGATCTGCTCTTTGTTTCTGGGAAGAGGTCCCTGCTTTCAACATGTAAGCACCTTCAGAAAATGATAATTACTTTGTACGTTGTTACATGACTGCCTATTCCTAAGTTTTATGCCAAGATCCAACAGGACAAGGAAAGGGCACATTTCCCTGCGTTTCTTTGGCTCTTGGTTGGATTATAGGTGCTTTATTTTTTTTAATGAACACTATTTATTTAACAAGCACTTCATGTGAAACTTGCTGCTGTATTGAGTATAACCATATTGTGGAGGACATTGCTCACTATGTACCACCGTGTCCCCTTTATGAGAACCTGGAACTTTTGTTCATGAGCAAAGGCTAGGGTTTTATTTTTTGGACACAGTGAACAAGTGGATCTAGTTCTGTCTCCTTCTTTACTTTAGCTGCTGGTAAAGTTAAAGCAACATTTGGGCCCAGACTGAAGAATTAGGCATTACTTTCTAGTATGTGTGCTAATATTACCCAGACTTATTGAAACCTCACTTAAATGTTAGTTTTTACTTACTTTGATTCCTTATACCTGTTTTTCTTCTGTTGTGTTCTGTTTTTTCATCTTCTCAGTACTCTTTGGAATCAGAATATGTTAATTCCTATAGCCAAATACATAGTTGATGAAATAAGAATATTTAATTTGTATTTGTTAGTATAGGAGTTCTTCGGCAATTTTTTTTCTGCAGAGAGCCAGATAGTCTTCTACTATTTTGCCTATTGCCAGGCAAATGGTGTCTGTTGCAACTACTCTGTTCTGCACTGTGATGATAAAGCACCTATAGGCAATCTGTAAGCAAATGGGCATTACTGTGATCCAATAAAACTTTATTTTCAAAAACAACAGCAGGCTGGAATTAACCTTGCATGCTGTGGTTTGCCTACCCCTAGTAAGTTGCTTTTAGAGACTAGAACTGGAGAACTACTAGGAAGCACCATTTTTAAATCATCAAGAGAGACCAACACGCATTTCCCGCTTTTCTAGTGTACTCTCATAGGATGTTCTTGGCTTACATGTGGGTTTTATTATAAAAGTTCACTTTTAGATGGGTGATTTGTAACTCATGATTCATTTTTCCCATAGAAAGAAGTTTGTGTTGTCAAGAATCTGTATCTTGTTAATGAAAGTCTGTTTAGTTAATAATATAAAATGTTAACATGTTTGTATTAAAAAGTAAGAGAAAATGATACTATTAAGACAGATGAGGGAAGGAGGTGATGATGAGGATTTCAGGGCACACTCATGGGCTTGAGAGATTAAGGGTACTTTGACTACTTTTGCCTCAGGTATATGGTAGTTTTCTAGTTGGAGAAAGAGCGAGCAGTAAACAGACTTCAGAGTCAGATAGAATTGGATTTGAATCTTGATTTTTCTCATTACCTGTGCGACCCTGGGCAGGGTACTTGACATTCCTGAACTTCATGTGGAAACCTCTGTAAAGTGGGGCTACAACTGTCTATCTTAGAGGATCATTGTGAGACCAAAAATAAGCCTTGTCTGGTCTCTGGCACAAGGTAGGCATTCAGTAAATGGTAGCTGTCGGGTTTGATCATGAGCCATGACTAGGATAATTCCTGGCTTACAAAGAGAATGAAGAAAGTAGGAAGAGAGAAGGGGAATTTTTTAGAAAAGGGAGGCCTGGGGTTAGGGTGCATGCAGAGGGGAGGGGCTGAGAAGCCTAAAGACCTGAGCCCTTAAAACCATGGCACCTGTGCATCTTGGCAAGAGAATGCCAAGAGAAGTTGGTGGAAGAGAAGTTGTTCAGGATGACCCATGTTTTGAGTGTGGTGACTGGAAGAAATAGTTTTATTTATTTGGTTTCTAATATATCGGTTTGAGAATATAATGAATTGGGGTGCCTGGGTGGCTCAGTCGGTTGAGTGTCTGCCTTCAGCTCGGGTCATGATCTTGGGGACCTGGGATCGAGTCCTGCATCGGGCTCCCTGCTCACCGGGGAGTCTGCTTCTGCCCCTCCTTTGCCCCTCTCCGCACCTCCCTGCTTGTGCTCTCTGCTCTCTCGTGCTCTCTCTCTCTCAAATAAATATCAGAAAAAATATAATGAATTTTGTATTTCATTCAGATATGGTAGAAGGAATACAAAGATATCCTCCCATTTGGAACTAATACCATGCCTTACCCCCTTTTTGTGATACTTTATATCCTTTTTTTAATGACCACTTTGCAGTTTGTTATCTTTGCTTATTTTTCTTCAGACAAAGTTTTACTTCTAAGTAGTTACGTTGTAGAAAATAATTGAAAACAGTTAAGCATTTTCTTGAACTAATTTGGAAACAATACAGTTTGCCATAGTGAAATTTGTTTTCCAGGGCCAGGAAAAATAATTATTACAAGAAGACAATTATATGGAATGTACAAAATGTATTTTCTGATAGGAGATTTTGAATATTATAAACAGAAAAACTTAAATTTCAGTTTAGGCAAGCTAGGTGACATTTGGCTGACTTTTTTGGGTCATTACTGACATTAGCTGACCTGTTGTGGTAATTTTTAGTTCTTTGGTGTTTTCCCTGCTCTTTTTTTATTTTAGAAAGTGCAGTCTAGAGCACAAGTGTGAGTGGGGGGAGGGGCAGAGGGAGAGAGAGAATCTTAAGCAGACTCCCTGCTGAGCGTGGAGCCCCATGGGGGCTTGATCTCACAATGCTGAGACCAGGACCTGAGCCAAAATCCAAGAGTTGAATGCTTAACCGACTCAGCCACCCAGGTACCCCATTTTTAAAAATACTATTTCCACGATATCTATTTCTTTACTTTTATTTAATTTTTTTATTTTAAGTAGGTTCCACACCCACCGTGGGGCTTGAACTCACCATCCTGAGATTAAGAGTCACATGCTCTACTGACTGAGCCAGCCAGGCACCCCTATTTTCATGATATCTAAAGCATCCAAACCTTTTCTGTTTGTAGGCCATGAGTGAATTTTTTTTCTTCTAGTTGTAAATGGCAGTTCTGCGAACTGTTCAGGAAATAGGTATAGCTTTAACTTTGCTTTTTTCAGTGCTTTCCCCTTGTTGGTGAGATTTAGGTTCAGCAAGAGACACTGTATGCACCAAAAAATTGTTTTGGATTAAAGAAGTGACTCTCAAAAATGTGTGGCAAAAGACCACTTATAAAAGAAGGAAGTTAGTGAGTTGTCCCCTTGCTTAGAAAACAAACTGCATCATACACTTTATCCCACGACTTTGAGTAATGGAAAATTTTTGCTTGGCAAAACTGATTTGGAATTCTGCTTTGAACATCTGGAAGTTACGTGTTGAAAATTAATCCTTATATTTAAATTTGAAAACTTGATAGTATACATTTCCCTACTTTGAATCTAGCAGTGTATGTTAACATTTACATTAAAATTTAGTACGACTCAAAAATTATCTCCAGATGCCAAAGTTGTTGGTAAATTAAGGGCAGGGTATATATAGATGTATCTATATCAATATCGATATAGATATTGATAGTATGAAAAGTCATAGAAAAATAGATTTTAAAAAATAGTATATTTGTCAGTAGAAGATAAATATTGTTGAGTAGAAGCATATAAAAAGTAATGAGGTACTCCTATGCTGCTATTTTGCCGTTTTAACTTTTTATTGGTTTCTTTAAAAGATGGAAAATAGGGACAGACAATATGGGTAAGCCAGGCGATGCTAATCTTGTTTCTATGTAGCAGTTTTTGGGAAGGGAATGATATTGAAATGGATAGCTGAAATTATAGTTTGGGATTACTTTCAGATTTGTAATTTTATTGTTCCTTTGGGCAGTCCAGACTTGTAAAGGCACAACCAAAATGTTTCCTAAGGAAGAGTGTTTACCTGTGATTTTGGAATTGAGAATCACTTCATCTCCTTCTCTTTAACTCCTAGATAAGTAGAGCTGTTTTGAATATATTCAGTATTTGGCACGCATTTATTTATTGCATGCTTCTTCTACGTCCACCCTTGCGCTAGACGCGTAGAGCATTGGATTTTTTTTTTCTCCTTACTTTTTCTTGTCTACTCTCTAGGTTCTGTTAAGGATAATTTTCAAGTCTGCTATATTATATTCTTCAAGATAAAGCAAACCGACCCTTTCGCTGCTTTGTTAGCATAGTAACTGTGTGGCTGAACAAGGAGGGCACTGCTGTTCTCGGTCAGCGGGACCAGGGAAGTTGGGAAGCATAGCTTGGGTCCGACTAGTCATTCCAACCTTGAATTCTGTTTGTGGCAGTAGCAGCTCTGCCCTTATGTTATCTTCAAAAAATTAGGTATATTCTAATTATCTTTAACTTTTTCTTGTGAATTTCTCTTAAAATATGTTTATAGCTTCTGCCTACCACATCTCAGGGTAGCAGATCCTACAGGTTTATAATTTCTGTCTGATTTGCTTTGAGACTTCTTATTGTTAGAGTTGGTTAAGAAGTCAGTGTTAAGCTCTTCCCTGTATGGTTTTAGGAGTATTGATCCTTAACCTATTCACTTTTCATCTTGGCAGAGTGTTTTTCATTTTAGCCTAATCTAGGTTGAAGAAGAGTACTTACTAAGGCTGAACTGGCTCAGCTCCCCAAGTAGCACACATGTGTGGTTTAGATGTTAGCAGTTGCTACCATGTGCTGCAGGTGCAGCTGGAATGAGGCCCAGTGATAGTCATGTTCCCCATGGGGAATGTCCTCTCCCTCCTCTATTTGAAAAGGGGCTCTTAAGGGGCGCCTGGGTGGCTCAGTCAGTTAAGCGTCCAACTCTTGATTTTGGCTCCGATCATGATCTCGGGGTCGTGAGATCGAGCCCTGCATCAGGCTCTGTGCTCAACGGGGAGTCTGCTTAAGATTCTCTCTCTCCCTCACCCCCTTCCCCTACTCTCTCTCTTTTCCTTTCCCTTTCCCTCTCTCTCTAAAATAAATAAATAAATCTTTAAGAAAAACACCTTTGAACAGGGACTTTTAAGACCTAACAACCTTGAAGGACTGGAAGTTAGGTGGATGTTTGAATAGGCTTAATAAGCTGCTTCTTATAAGTGAGAGGATTGGAGGCAGAAGCTTGTCTCAAGTTCAGATGAAGTAGGGAAAGAGAAGTAGCTTTGGCAAAATATGTCCTTAGTAGTCACTGGCCACAATTCATTTTTGATGTCTAAATTAATGACTGAGATTAGTAATTTGCAGACTTTCTGATGTTGGCACACATGGATGTTTTTTTTTTAAAATATTTTTTATTTATTTATTATTTATTTGACAGAGAGAGACACAGTGAGAGAGGGATCACAAGCAGGGGGAGTGGGAGAGGGAGAAGCAGGCTTCCCGCGGAGCAGGGAGCCCGATGCGGGGCTCGATCCCAGGACCCTGGGATCATGACCTGAGCCGAAGGCAGACGCTTAACGACTGAACCACCCAGGCGCCCCCACATGGATGTTTTTTAAGATTCTTTTTTCTGTTCCCCGAACTCTCCCCTCTCCCGTAGTATGTTTGTAGTCATTTAACAAAATAAAATTTAACATTGTTTGGGAATTGTTTTGAAATTGTTGTTTGTCTGCTGAAGACACTAATTTTAATAATTTCATAAAATCAGGGTGGGAATCATGGTACTGTCTAGATAAGATGAGAAAAACAAATAATGTTTCTCATGCCACTTTTCCCAGGAAGCCTGAGGACTTGTAGTCTAGAGTAGAATGACTGTATAATTTGCTTTGCATATTAAGTAGGTGATAAAAAAATCTTTTTAAAAGGAAAGCTCTATTGTTTTAGGTTTCTTTCTTTCTTTCTTTTTTTTTTTTTAATTTGACAGAGAGAGACACAGTGAGAGAGGGAACACAAGCAGGGGGAGTGGGAGAGGGAGAAGCAGGCTTCCTGCCGAGTAGGGAGCCCGATGCGGGGCTCGATCCCAGGACCCCGGGATCATGACCTGAGCCGAAGGCAGACGCTTAATGTCTGAGCCACCCAGGCGCCCCTCTTTTAGGTTTCTTATTATCCCAGTTACTTAAACATCAGTTAGAAATAATTAGTGACTTTTTAAAGAATGTGAACATAATATTGACCTAGGCATAGTCTGATTCAATATCTTATTTAAAATAAAATTACGAAATATAATTGCCCTATCTCCAAATAATAGACATCCTTTAAGACATATTATAGTGATTCTTTGATAGTATGTAGAGTTTAGTTTTTATTTTGAAAGAGCTGGTTATTTGGTTTGTCACTGTACTATTACTGTTTCTCTTGACTTTTGAATTAAGGAAAATAAATTTTTATGTACATCCTTGTTATTTTGATAATGATTATCATTTGATTTTTAGTGATGGTATAATCTCTTTTAGGAATGTTGGCATTTGTGTAATTTAAATATTTTTTGTAGCTATGATTTAATGAATGAAAGGGCAGGGCCCAATCTTAGGATGATTTAGGGAGAAAATGTGGTTAGTTTACTTTATGAAACTTCTATTTTTGAACCCATTGCAAAAACAGACCATCCTCGTCTCATCCAGAGTATTGTAAGAATGCAGGCCATCTTTATAGCTTGATGAGTATAGTTGTATTTATTTTACCCTTTGAGAAATAATAAAACTGGCATGTAGAAATACCTGTTCAAGGAGCAAAGGCAAGAAATTAGGTCCTTTACATTTGAATCTTTAATAAGATATTAGGATAAACTGTTTTCTAGTGTTGAGAAATGTCTTTTGGGTGACTGTTAAATGTTTGTAATTTATATAACATTTAAATGTAGGAAAATCTCTCACTAAGCAGTACTTGGCAATTATGCATTATTCTCTCATTGCAAAGGTAGTACAGGGTAACTTATTTTTGTATTTTGAAGAATAGCTGATCTCCATTTAAACTTCTTATTATATCTTCCCAAAATTTAACCTGACTTGTGAAGCTGTCTTTTCAGTTATGTTGTATTAAAACTGGATCCCAGCCTAATGAGTCAGTCAAGCAACTTTTTTTCCCCTCTTTTGGTTAAGCTTCATATTTATAGGTATATGTATGCTCCACCCAAGAGAAAAGTAATGTGCACTGCAGATAGAGTGAGCCTACCCAGTGCTCAGAAATTATGTTACGATATATTTCACCCTGTGCTGATACTTTGCTACATTTTTTTTCCAGAGATGTCAGAACTTGAACAGTCATTCATTTTGACATTGTGCCCTACTTACAGTATAATTTAACTGAGGCCAAACTGGATTTTTCTGAAATGGCATTTGAATGGTACATCGTATCACATTTTAATGAGGAATTAGCAGTATTTTTACATGAGTATTTTCTAAAAGATTTTTGTTTGTCGTAAGTTGACTTTCAGAGAGTTTTGCTGCTTTCTGTGCTTTACTACAGAAGAGAAGACAGTTTTCTGATCTCTTTCTTTTTTTTTTTTTTATTCTTATGTTAATCCCCATA